ATACCCGGGGGAGGGGCCGGGCAGTGACGCGAGGACATACTGGGGAATACAGCCCAGCCGAGCGGTTCTGGCCCCATCTAGCGGCTGGCGGGGAAGCAGGAAGGGCGGGGGCCGAGGCGGCTGCTGCGTCGGGCGGTGAGCGGGCCGGGCTGGGACTCAGGGGGATGCCCCGGGGTTCCCCCGTGGAGGGGGCCGAGTAGGGGGTGCGTCCCGTCCTTCCCTCGGGGCGGGGATTCCCTGGGCCCCTCTTGGGGCCATCTCGGGCTGCCGCATTGAGCCCCCCCCCCAAACACACCCCCCCAGGAAGCCCCCCCCCCCCCCCCCCGTCCCCCCCACCCCCCCCCCGCTATTGCCCCAACACTCCCCACTCCCTATCACCTACAATCCCCTGGGGCCCCGACCCAGCACCGCCATATTCTCTGTTACCCACACTCCCTTGCGTGCGGCCATCATGGACCCCTCCCCCATTGCCCACACTCCCCTGCGTGGGGCCATGGACCCCCCCCCATTACCTACACTCCCGTGCGTGGGCCCGTTCCCCAGCCGTAGTCTGTTCTCCAGGATTCTGAATCTTCTGAACACCCTGCCCGCCCCAAGCCCCCGCTCGCTCTTACCGAAACCCAAGGTTCCCACTCGTCCCTGGCCTCAATCGGTGTCCCACAGGGCCCCTCCAGCCCCTTTTCCTGGGATTGCTACTTGCCCCATTTTCTTGATGCCTCAATTTCCCCAGGATTAAAACTGGGTTAGTAGCAGGCTGGCCCACAGAGAGAGAGTCCTGATTCTCAGTTCAATAATCCCATTACATACAGGCACTGAGATGTCGCCACCACTGAGGTGGGGTGTGGGGGCTGCTTATACAAAGATCCCTGTCCAGTGCTGCCACCTCTGGGGCAGGGCTTGAGCGAGACTAGCAGCTTGTGGCTCTCGTGTGGGACACTCTTTTGCTCTAATAGTTTCTCTCTCCCACCCAGGCGGTCCCTCCCAGGGGTTGCCATGAGTGTGCGGAGTGGGGAGAGCTGGACCCAGCTTATAACAACCTTCCGAGCAGGCCCCACAGCCTTCCTTCTGGCCCGTGGGAGTGATGATACCTTCCTGGCTGAGCTGCTGCAGGACCTGAGCAGCGAGAGGATCAGTGAGCAAACCAAGGTACGTGGGGTTGGGCAGGACGCCTGGGTTCTATTCTTGGCTGGGGAGGGGTGTAATGGGCTAAAGCAAATTTATACGGGGACTCCTGGATTTTATCTTCAGCTTTGAAGGAGGAATGGAGTGGGGTTTAGTGGTTAAAGCTGTGGGGGACTCCTGGGTTGTCTCTTTGGCTTTGGGAGGTGAGTAGGGTCTAGTACTTAGAGCAGTGGGGCTGGGAGTCAGGACACCTAACTTCAATCCCTGGCTCTGGCAAGGACTAGAGCAGGGGCATGAGAGTCAAGACTCCTGGGTTCTGTCAGTGGCTTTCCCGTTCTATCTCGTGGTGGTGCCTCTGTGCATTGCAGCCCCCTGACTGCACTCCTCTCTCTTTCTCTCTCTCTGTTGCAGGTCTCCATGCTGACCCTTCTGCTGGAGTTCCCCACCCTGCTGTGCCCAGACCCCGAGGTGGGCGAGCAGGTGGCTGGCTCTCTCCTGGCTAACTTTGCCCAGCTACCCCACTCACCCAAGCTGTCCTGGCTGCGGCGCCACCTGCTGGTGGTGGTGGGGACTGTGCTGATCTCCACTGAGGCCTTTGGGGAGGGCTCCCAGGCCTCCCGTGACTACCTCTCTCTGCTGCTACACCTGGCCTCGGACCTCAACGACCAGCGGCAGGGGCTGGGTGACCGCGGGGTGCGGGCGGCCGCCTGCGAGAGTCTGAGGGAGCTGGAGTGCTGCTACCCCGGCCTGTTCTCCCGGCGGTTGGACTCGCTGCGCTCCATGCAGCAGCAGGAGCTCACGCCTGTCCACCAGGGCTATACGCTGCTATACAGCCTGGCCCTGCGCAATGCCGTGCTGCTGCTGGCCCGCCGGGGCGAGGGGGCTCTCAGTGAATTGCTGGCTGGCAACGAGGGGCTGGCTTGGGAGGCGGTGGGGAATGCCGGGGCAGTCTCTCCAGCCTCCATTGACCGCCTGCTGCTGCTGCCCACCCCGGCCGAGACCAAGGAGCTGAAGTCGGTGCTGTCCCAGCTGCTGGATGGCTCCTATCTGCTGACACCACCTGCCCAGAGCCAGCTTCTGTGGCATCTGGCCCAGGTGTTGTGCGTGATCCGCACCCAGTCACCTGCCATCTTCAAGGCGCAGCTGGTGCGGTTGTTTGGCACAGCCCACGTGGCGCTGCTGCACGCCAGCCTGCAGCTCAAAGGGCTTTTCACCGACAGCCTCTTCACGGCCGAGGACGAGGCCTTCCTCCTGCGCCGCCTGGTGGGCATGGCCCAGCATCCCTCACTGCCCTCGCCCCTCAAACTCTTCTACCTCGACTGCCTGCTGCACTTCCCCGAGAACCGCCCGCTGGGCTCTGGCTCTGAGGAGGGGCTGCCCGTCCTGCTCACACCCCGCCTGGCCTCCTGCCTCTTCCCCTCCCTCTTCAACGACCAAGGCACCATGCTGGCACGCCTCAACCTGCTGAGTCTGGTGTGCCTGGAAAACCAGGGCCCCGAGGCTGAGCGGGGAGTTGGGTATATCTTTGAGCATGTCCTGGCACTGGCAGACACTGTGGCAGGCAAAGGTGGGTGTGAGGCCACTGGGCTCTTCTTCCGAGCCGCCTACCTCTTTGCCCGCTACTTTGGCTCAAGGCTGCAGCTTATGGCAGAGCTGACGAGCACCCTGGTGGGGCTGTATCGCCAGCGCTGCTCCCTGGCCCCCAACCTCATAAACCTGCTCAATGAGACCCAGGCGGTGCTGGATGACCCAGCCTGGCCCACATCCTTGAGCAAGGCCCTGCAGGAGCTGACTGTGGGCATGCCGCTGCTGCCACCCTGGGAGCAGGAGCTGGGCTGGCACCTCAAGCTATTGGCCAGGGTGGCAAAGGAGAGTGGGGTCCCGCAGGGCAGCACACTTGGGTTCCTGCAGCGCCTGGTGCGGCTGGCAGGTGCTGGACAGCTGGGAGATTGGCACATTGGCCAGGCTTTGCTGAGCGTCTGCCGCAACCTGCTGCAGCACCAGCCTCCACCTGCCATAGGGTGCCAGCTGGCTGAGCTGCTCCAAGACGTCTCACTGAGCTACCCGGATGTGGATGTGCAGGATCGGGCTCGCTTCTACTACACACTCCTGTCATGCCTGTCCGGGGACAAGCTGGGGGCAGTGCTGGCACCTGGGGGGCGCCTCAAAGCCCGGACTCTCTCCTCCTCCATCATGGCAGATAGCGAGAACTTCGCTGCTGCACTAACCGTGCACCCAGCCCCACAACCCCTGCTGCAGCTGCAGCGCGAGGCCCCAGCCAAGCCCACCCTGGTACCAGTGCCAGCCTTCCAGCCGTGCCCTGCTGATGCTCAGGAGGTGAAGGACTGCTGCCGACAGCTCCTGGAGCTGCATTCTCCAGCCCGGCTCAGCCTGACGTACCGGCTGCTCCACACAGGGTCCTCACCTGAGCGACTCTTCTGCCTCCTGCTGCGCTTCGAGCGCTCTGACAACTTCTATGAGCCAGTGCCTGACGTGTGCGTGCCCTGCCTCTCCACCACCCGCCCATCACCCGTCCTCACACTCCACCTGCAGCCCCGCTGCCCCTACCCCACCGAGCTGGCAGTGAGCGCTTTGTACACCACGCAAACCGGCCTCACCTATTGCAGCCAGCTAGAACCACTGCAGGTGGCCTTTCCGGACATCTTCCTGCCTCTGGCACTGCCTGTGAATTGGGACTGTGAGAGCCGGCGCCACCTCTTTGACACCCTCTGGTCCTCCCTGTGCCCAGGTGGGTCAGGTGACTGCGCTGAGAGCCTCTTTTGCTGGCCCACCACCCAACAGCCCCTAGGTGTCCTGGTGCAGGCTCACTTTGCCAGCTACCTAGTGGCAGAGGAGCCAGGCACCTACAGGATTGCCATAGCCCTGCCACCCCACTACCATGTGCTGCTGCAGGCACAGGGGACCCAGGGGGCAGCGCGTGTCACCATTCGCACTGACAACTGGAAGGTGCTCCCCCACCTGAGTGCCTATCTGCGGAAGGTGGTGGAGTGACAAAGCCTCAAATAGGGATTGAGAGGTATCTGTGAGTTGGGCACCCCCCAGGAAGGGGGATCTGTGAGTGGGAGTAAAGGGGACATGTCTCCAGCCACCTGGGGGGGATTTGAGAGTGGACATAGCGGGACACATCTCCAGTCCCCCGAGGGGCCAATCTCTGAGTGGGGCTGGGAGCCTGAAATGTAAATTTCTGAAGCTCTGTACAAATGCCTTTTGCAAGTAAAATTTGCAGTGAAATGAACAAATCAGTGCATGTGGGGCGGAGTGCAGTGGTGTGGGGATTGGGGTGGTGCATTGGGAGCTGTGGGGAAAGATACAATGGAGTGGAGCTGGAGGAGTGTGGAGGTGGTGCTATGCATTTGTGGGGAGTGCAATGAGGTGGTGCTATGTGCCTGAGCTCCTGTACTGCTCCCAGCTACTGGGGAGGCTCCAGCACTGGTGTTGCTTGGAGCAGCTGAGGTGTAGTGCTGAAAGGACAGTTGGGATGCATTCTCCCCCTCACAAGCTGGAGAACTCCATGCCTGCTCTGTGGGCCCAATGCTGAAAGGAGGGTTTGGTTTCTGAGGCCTATTCGGTCCCTGGCTACTCTGCTGGTACAGGGCTTGGTGAGCAAGGGCTGGCCCTAGGTGTTTTGTCACCCAGGTTGGAAAAGGTTTTTGGTGCCCTATGCCAGGGCTCTGGTGCCCCCAAATGAGGTAAGTTGGTGTCCCTGAATGTTGGGTCCGAGGCTGACCACCCTGCTCGCCGGCCCCCGAAGCCTGGCTCTGCTGGGTCGTGCCTGTGGGGGATGTGCAGGGAGGAGGACCCTGCTTTATTGGGAACACAGCTCGCAATGCAATCAGCCGTCTCCATGGCAACTGCTGAGCAGGCTCTGAATTAGGGTTGTTCCCCCTGGTACAAAAACACAGGCCAGCCGGCAGCTCCCCCTGCACGGCTCCCTCCAGCGGGCAACCCCGCTCTGAATGCAACCCAGTGTCCTATCCCTGCCCCGAGCCAGCCGGCCAGGCCCTGCCCTCGCATGTGGGTCAGCGCGGGGGAAGGGAGGCGCTCCAGAGGGAGGGGTTTCACTCAGGGTGGAAACTACCGCGCCCATCATGCACCGGGACGGGACTACCACTCCCATCATTCACCGGGGGCGAGGTTTGCCTCCTGTGGCATGCGCTGGCCTCAGGACTACGCCCCCCAGCATGCACCGGGAGAGGCGTGCGGTGCGGTGTGAAGGGATTCCCGTCGGCGTCTTCCCGTTCCCCTGCTGTGCGCGGGACGCTCGGTGAGGGCGGCAGGTGAGCGGGGCTCCAGGCTGGGAGAGCCGGCGGAAGTGGACGCGCCCAGCACGAACCGGGCCCGGAGACCCCCACCCCCTTTACTACTGCCCCATCCCGGGCAGGGTCCTGCCCACGTGGGGATGCGGATTCCTGACAAGGCTCCTCCTCTGGCCCCCAGAAACTCCCCCCCGCAAGGGATGAGGCGCCCTGGTCAGGAACTCCCTCCCCTCCCCCCCGCAAGGGATGAGGCGCCCTGGCCAGGAACTGCCCCCACAACCCTCGCCCCCTCACTGTCTCTCTCGCCAGGCCCCAGCTGAGCAGTGCCTGTCTCTGGAGCAAGATGTCTGAGAGCAGCAGCCCCATTCGGCTGGACCTGAGCTCCCTGCGGGAGGCGCCCCAAGATGTCTTACACCTGCTGCCCTGCGAGGTGGATCACAACGGCAGCGCCCCTGTGGACAGATACTTCACCCCGGCCATCCGCCAGGGCTCGCAGGGTTGGTGTCTCCCTCCATACTTGCCAGGGGATGATGTGCTGCAGGGAGCAGGATGGGGGCTCCCACCCCTTAGTCAGTGCTGACCTTAGGAGGCGCTGTGCTGCTGCAGGGATGGGATGGGGGCTCCGTAAGGGGTGCTCTCCCCTCAGTCAGCATAGACCCCAGTACCCCTGCATGGAACTTGGGTTGCTGTGCCCATTTCTCAGTCGAGTGCATCCCCTGGCCAGGTTCCTGTCTCCCCAGCTCAGTGTCGGTCTCTCTCTCCCCACAGAGAAATCTGTATCCTTCCGTGGCAGGAGCCTCAAGGGGCAGGAGGTGATAGTGCCCCAAGGTTATGTGGGGCTAGTTCTGAAGGAGGATCAAAGGCCCTGCACAGAGGAGGAGGTGAGCCCTGTGGGGGTGGGGTGGATAGGGGAGAAGCAGCCCTGGGATGCTAGCACCTGCCTGGGGGAAGGCTGTGGGGCTGGACCCATGGTCTTGCCTTGGGTTGGGATCCCGCAGGAGGGGGCACTGGTAGCTTCTGGGGACACATGCCCTCTTTGGGGCTGGGTGGGAGGGGTGGTGTTACCCCTTTGGGGACAAGGCCATCAGAGCTGGGAACAGCGTAGTGTTAACCCTCACGCTAAAGGGAGGTGTGCCTTGGAGCTGGCTGGGGGCCCCCTCAGTCCCACTGCCCGTCCCCCTCCCTGACTCCCAGCCTCCTGTGCTGCAGGAGCGGACCGTGCGGCTGAAATCAACCTTTGGGACGCTGACAGTTTGGAACCTGGAGCGGGCTCCAAGTGCGGATGATGGGTTGCTCCTGGCTCTGAGCTGGCCAGGGATCGCCGAAGCTGTAAGTACTGGTGTGCTGCTCTCCTGTCCGTTACCCCCACCCCAGAACGGTGAGGGGGGCTGGTGGTGCGTGTTAGGGCCTGGTCTTGCTGCCACGGCAACTTCAAAGGGATGGGGGGCAAGACCCCCCCCCCATTCCACAAAGACTCTTACACTAGCTCTGTGTTTGGTCCATTATAGCAATGAACAGGTATGTTCTCAGCCCTGCCCCATCCAATTGTCAGGCTGCTTCTGTGGTTCGCCCAGTATCCCTTGAGTTGCTAGGGGTGAGGCAGTCGTTACATCCCATAATACCCCTGCATTCACCTACACACTCTGTTAGTGAAGGGGGGCTGGTAAAAGGCATAATGATTGGTCCCCTCAGAGTGAGTCAAATACTCTGGGATGAAATAACTATAGCCCATAATATATACCCTCCATGGACACCCAGCCATGCCCCTGCCCCATAATATATCCCCGGTACCCCAGCAGCTGTGAATAGGGGGAATGCCTCCAGGCCTGGCAGAGTGCTGAGGCTGTCTTGGCCTGCAAGGGGTGGCTGTGTGTTCTTGGGCCTTGACGTGGGCAAATGGAAAATGCTGTCCAAAGCATTTTGCCCAGCCTGGCGGGCACTACCCCGTTGTGGGGAAAGTGGAAAAGGCAAAGTAATTGCTGTGCAGGACTGGGGCTCAGAACTCCTGCCCTTGGCCCCATCTGTGCCTCAGTTTCCCCTCCACTCTGTTGATTATGACAGAGCTTCATAAAGCAATGAGTCTCATGGGGTGTTTGTGCAATGCTTGGCCCAACAGGAGCCCCAGTCTCAGTGTGGGGGAGCAGTGTAGTGCCTGGTACAATAGCGGACCTCCCCACTTTGTCAGGGCCTCTAGGCAGTACTGTGCTACACCTAACAGCAGCAGCTGTTCCTGCACTGCTATCCCTTCAGGGCTGGAATCCTAGGGGTGCAGGGGGGCAGGTGACTTTTGACAGGTCACCTCTCTCATTGCAGATCCATGCACCAGTGTCGAGGAAGGAACAGTGAGCCCATGGTGGAGGCAGCGGTCCCAGGACTGCTAGCCGCTGGCTGCCTCTCAGGTCTGCACTGGGGTTTTTTTTGGCCCCACCACCCTGCGTGGTAGCTCCATGCTGAGAATACATGGATCTCACAGAGATGCCTGCTTGGTCTGAGTCATGATTCCAGAGTTCACTGAGCCAGCACCTGGAAACAGGTGGGACAGCATCTCCCCTGGTCCACGGCTGGCTGTCTGCCCTCTGCGCTGGAGATTGGGGACAGGAAGGCTGAGTGCTGTGGACCTTATGCTGCAAACACTGATCCCTCAGGTCCCTGGGACAGGCAGCTTCAACATCCGGCACAGGGCAAAACTGAGGCTTGCTGAAGTCTGGCCCAAGTCACAGCAGCTGAGTGGGATAGAACCCAGGTGTCCTGACTCCCAACCACTCTTCAGACTACTTGGCCATGATTCTCCCTAGATGTCTCATGCTACCCAGGAAGGACTCTAATGCAGGAGCCAGGGCTCCTGGGTACTTTTCCCCCTCCTCCCTGCTGTGTCTCCATTTCCCCCTCTGAATGAGGCAGGGAAGAGTGCTAGCACATTCAAGAGACCCTGACAGGACTGACCAGCTAGAGGCAGGACAGGGCAGCAGGGTTGTGCTTGCAGCTTCTTCTCTCTTCCCCTCTCTCCAGGCTGCCACAAGCTTTGGCACGATGCGGGTCCCCGCCCAGAACCATTCTTGCCAAGGGAATATTCAGCATTGTTACTTTATGGGGGGGAGCACCCTGTTAGCAGGGCCTACCTCCGCTGTGTGGCTGCTGTTTGCAGGTGGGCCTGTGGCCAGACCTGGAGGGGAGGGCAAGGCTAGTCAGGCCCAGAGGCTTGGCCGAAGTAGCGGGACGGGGATCAGCACCATGAGTCTGCCAGAGAAACTGGGGGGGGGGGGGGAGAGAAGTGTTTAGTGCTCAGCCCTAAGTGTCTTGGCCCAATGGCAATCAGCCCATCACCTGTCCATTGCTCAGTGCTGCTGCCCCGGGCACTGGGGGACATCTGGTTCCAGATCCTGCTGTAACTGCTGCTCCCAGGGAGAGAGAAATGTGCTACCAGGGCAGGGGGAGCATAGCAGCTTTGAGGTCCTAAACTTGTGTTTGGCCACAGCTTCAGGCAGCCTGCACCCTTCCAGGGTTCGGGTGTGTTCATTGCACAGGGAGTGCTGCAGCTGGCTCTGGGGTGACACAGCAGCTGCTGTTGGCAGGGACACTGCTCGCTAGTGAAAGAAGTGGCTGCCCCCCAGAATTCCTGGGAGTCAAGGCCTGATGCTGCTCAGGGTATTGCACAGCCCTGGGGAGGATAATGCAGCCTGAGCACCCCTCATCCTTCTCTAGCTGATTAAAAAGGTCCAGGATCAATCATTTTAGTTCCAGGATCTTTATCAAAAACTCAGATCGAGTGACAGAGAAATGCAAATGCTGGCCAGCTGCCGAGGGCCCAGGGCCACCCATTCTCAGCCTTTGGGCTCCTCAGTCACAGCCCACAATGTACAAGGTGGCCTGGCAAGATGCAAGTCCTACACACAAATGGGGCCCTCACCCTGGCGCTGAGACAAGGAGAGCAGCATGGGGGCCTCTGCCCCTTCCCATGGGGCTTGAGCCATGGCCGGAGAACGATGCAGCCCCAGCCTAGCCCTGTGGCAGAGCACATGATCATCCTTGGAGATGCTGTTGCCCAGTCTGTCCCGGCCCTGGGATAAACTCCCAGGAGCTGCACGTTAGCTGGATGTCTGTGAGGCCCCATGCCAGGGCCATGGGGGAGTGGGTGGCAGATAGGCCCTGCCTCTCACCACTTGCCCCTCTTGCTCCAGTCCTTGGGGGTGAAGTGCAGACACTTGGAGTCAATGCGCAGGATCCGCTTCAGCATCGCCCGCTCGTGCCCGTCCACTATGTCCTCTGAGAGCGTCAGAATGTACTGGCCCTTTAAGGGAGACAGCAGGGGCCCAAGTCAGCGATGCGGTTCAAGAGAAATGTCTTGTCAGGGTCCCTGAGAAAATTAGTGAAGGGACCTGAGCCAACCTAGCTGCTTGTCTCCATTGATGTGTTTTGGTCCCATGTGGCAGCCCAATCAGCATCCCCTGTCTCCCAGAGCCAGGGACAGACCTCATGAGTCCTGCCTTCCACCCCCCCTTAATTCAGCTACCGTAATGCCTTGGTATCTCTCCATGCTAGTGACATATACAAGGAAGCCACTTGCCCCTCTTGGGTACCGCTAGGAATCTCACTCCAGAGCATTCCCCCCAGGGTGGATACCTTGTAGTAATTGATGAGGTTCAGGTACTGCAGCGTGGAGATCACATCCTCCTTCTTGATGCTGGTGATCTCACTGATTTCACTGAAAGGGAATGGGAGACATGAAGGGGTGGAAGGCAGTGACCTGGGGGTCACGGAGGGGAGGGGGGGGAGTGCACGGGAGCCAACAGCACCTTCCCCATGTGCCCTGAGGCCATTCTGTCTGCGACCATCCCTGGAATCACAGTCGAGGGAATGATTTTAAAGCAGCCCTCCGTGAAGTGTTAACTCTGACTCCTAGTGACAACTGGGTCTGTGTTCCCTGTCACTGATTATTGGTGCAGAATCCTCTGCTCTGGGATTGAGGGTGGAGTTTGGGATTGTGGGCGGGGCACTCACTTGATGGTGATCTGTGGGCGCTCCCCGTTCTCAGACTTCAGGTTCATGAGGATCTCCAGGATGGTCTGGGACCAGTAGCTGCGGTAGGAGAGGAGCCCGAGGTCTGAGAGTGGCTTCTCTGGCGTCCCCGTCTTCCCTTCCACCTTGGAGAGCTCGTAGCCTGCCAGGGGGGTGGGAGGAGATGGGGTGAGGGAGATGGAAATCAGGGGAGGGAGCTGGGGTGGGAAAGTGCCACTTACTGAATTCAATGAGCAGCTTGCCATAGCCTCGCCTCTGGTACGGGGGCAGGGTCAAGATGCAGGCCACATTGTAGTCTTCTGTTGACTCCTTCTCCTACGGCAAACAGCAAAGGATTCACACCTCAGCCAGTGGCTGCAGATTGCTTTGATGCTGGGTGTTCCAGTGACTCCTCTACCATCAAGACTGCCACAGATCCCCATGCCTTGTACCATGAGTTCTGGCCTCATCCACTGCAGCCCCTGCATGAATTCCCGCTCATGCCCCCTCCACAAATCCTGACCCTGGCCACAGATTCCTGCTCACACACCCTCCCACGGATCCTCTCACAGGCCACAATAGCCCCCTGCCACAGATTGGGGCCATGACCACATTATCTGGGCCTTCAATCCCCACCTATGGCCACAGCCACACCAGTCCCCTCCCTCACCCCAACCACAAGTTCCCATCCATGGTCACAGCAGCCCCTTCCCCCTCATCCCAGATAGCCACAGCAGCCCACAGACAGAGCCTGGTCAATGGGGGAGTGGCTGTGACAAGGCACAGCGATTCCCTGACCAACAGCTGGTGTCTCAGATGCTCCCTAGCTTCAATGACCCTTCAGGCATCTCCATGGGGAGGCTCTGATCTCATCAGGCAGTGGGGCCAGCCCATGGGATTCCTATTATACCACCGTGACCTGCTCTGACTGGCCAGAGAACAGTGGGAGAGCAAGGGCCGTGACAGGAGCAGGGATGGAGGGTCCCATCCAGGGAGCGGGGAGCACAGGGCAGTGCCCCTCACCTTGGAGAAATAGCCCACGATGTGGAAGCCCTTGCAGTCATACTCTGTCATGACGTAGAAGAGGAAGGGGTCAGTGTCATAGTACAGGGTCTTGTGGTCCAGGAAGCACTTCGCCAGCAGGCAGAGGTTCTGTGAGTAGCTCTGCAGGGACAGCATAAGCCGGAAGCGTTAACATCCTCACTCTACTGCCAGGATATGCGTGCGTGTGTGCGTGTGTGTCAGCTAGCTTCAGGGGGCTGCTGGGGAGGGCCCCAGCTCTAGTTACCAGCCCCTGGCCCAACGGGGATCTGCACTCAGACCTTCTCCAGCCCGCTTCATCAGACTGGCTCAGGCCACAGTACTAAAGTCCCACGTTGCCCAGGACGCTGTCATAAGCAAACTAGAGAAATGTGACGAGGAGTCCGGTGGCACCTTAAAGACCAACAGATTTATTTGGGCATAAGCTTTCGTGGGTAAACCCCCCCACAAAATCTGAAGAAGTGGGGTTTTTTTATGCCCAAATAAATCCGTTAGTCTTTAAGGTGCCACCGGACTCCTCGTTGTTTTTGTGGATACAGGCTAACACAGTTACCCCTCTGATACTAGAGAAATGTGGTCTCAGTGTTTCTCAACCTTTTTGATACCAGGGACCAGCTTGCTGCCTTCCTAACCTGTGTCAGGGAGATCTCAAGGACTGGCTCTGGTCTAGATAAAGTTACTATATGGTGGATGCACAACTAGTTAAAAGACCGTACTCAAGGGGTAGTTATCAATGGTTCACTGTCAAACTGGGAGGGCGAAGCTAGTAGGATGCCATAGGCATCAGTCCTGGGTCCAGTACTATTCAATATTGTCATTAATGACTTTAGATATTGGAGTGGAGACTATGCTTATAAAATTTGCAGGTGACAACAAGCTGGGAGAGGTTGCAAGCACTTTGGAGGATAGGTTTAGAATTCAGAATGATCTTGATACATTGGGAGAATTGGTCTGAAATCAACAAAATGAATTTCAATAAAGACAAGTGCAAAGTACCGCACTTAGTGGTAGTCCTGCTGAAAAGAATCGGGGGGTTAGTATGAGTCAACAATGTGATGCAGTTGCAGAAAAGGCTAATGTCATTTTGGGGTGTATTAACCGGAGTGTCGTATGTGAGATGTGGGAGGTCCCGTTCTACTCAGCACTAGTGAGGTCTCAGCTGGAGAACTGTGTCCAGATTTGGATGCCACACTTCTAGTTAAGTATTAGAATAGGTTTCCAAGGGAGGTTGTAAAATCCCAGTCACTGGAGGTTTTTTAAGACAGGTTGTTAGACAAACACCTGTCAGGGATGATCTAGGTTTATTGGTCCTGCCTTAGCACAGGGACTGCGCTAGATGACCTCTTGAGGCCTCTTCCAACCCTACATTTCTATGATTCTATGGAGGAGGAGAGTGTGACAGAATCCCTTACAGGGGAAACGGAGGCACGGAGATGGGAAGGAACTTCCCCAGGTTACCCAGAGAGGCATCAGTGAGGCTGGGAATGAACCCAGGAGTCCTGACTCCCAGCCCCTCTCTGTTGTAGCCACTTGAACCCATTCCCACAGCCAGACATCTCTGTCACATACCCAGGCTCCCAGACCCTGGAATCAGGCAGTCTCCTAAGGGTTAAAGGTGGAACAGAGAGCCCCACCCCAGCCGTGCCCTAGTGAGGGGACCTCCTGCCCCAGATCTGCCCCTTGCCTTGTTCTTGCGCCCATCAATTTCAAAGAAGGAGATGGTGCCTTTGCGGTAGATTTCATTCCCAGGCGGGTGCCGCAGGTCACACTTAGTCTGTGGGAGAGAGAATCCCATGTGAGCAGTCAGACCCTGCACCTTGCACATGGGGCACCTCGATTGCAGAATGACACCAATGATTGGGGGCCAGAGGGGCTGAGTTCCAAGGGGAGAGGGAAAGAACTGGATGCATCTAGCAGAGTTCAGGGGAGCGGCTAACAGGCTACTTGGAGCCAAAGAGTAAACCCCCCAGAGATCAAGTCTGCCTCTCCCTCTCCTTCCAGCTAGTAGAACTAAGATTAGAGAATTATACAGCTACAGGGACTCCTCACCCCGCACTGAGATGCAACATCCTCTGTGGGTGGGGCAAAGGGGGCTGTTTATACAGGTATCCCTTGCCTGGTACCAAGTGGGGTCAGCACCGGGGTCAGCACCGACTTGGAGGGAAATGCAGCCCCTACTGAGTCACTCACCCTGCTCCCTGCAGGCCAGAGCCCCTAGTGCCACGCTAGGGAACACACTCAGGGGCAGAAGCCCTGGGATCATGGAGTCAAGGCTGTGCCTGCCGGGGGCCATGCAGGGGCACGGGGAGGGTGATACGTACTAGGTGCCTCTGCAGGCACTTGAGGCTCTTGACGTATTTGAGGCAGAACTCGCAGAGGTACAGCACGGGCAGGGTGGTGAGCTCCTGCGGGTAGGGTGAGAAGTACCAGGGCTTTAGGCGGTGCCGGCCCAGCTCGATGCATTCTATGTTCTTCATGCGTGTGATGATGTCGTCGTGGCTGCGGTCCGACACGAGGCTGCCCGTCATGCGCGGGGCCGAGGGGATGCCATCAGAGCTGTCCTGAGAGTCCTGCAGGCGGCACAGAGGCAGGGTCAGGAGCTGCTGGACATGCCCTCCTAACCCCTCCTCTCTGGGCCCCGCCCCCAACTCGGTCTCAAATCAGGCCTCCCTGTGCCCTTCCCAAGGGCCTCCAGAACCCAAGGGCTGGCTGCTGATGGTGTGTGCACAGTGGCACAGAAAGGAATCCTGGCTCCTCTCCCAGATCCTACAGGGCTTCCAGGTCCGAGAGAATGGGCCTGGGAGATCCCCCACCCCACTTCTCCCCACCCAGCACACCCAACCCTGATGGTGCTGCAGCCTCAGCTGTGGCAGGCTATGACTTCACCTGTACCGGGGCTCAGGGCTGCTCCTTGAGCCAGCAGCATCTCCCCCAGGGAAAGGGGCAGGAGCTAGCAGAGAGCTGGGGAGATAAAGTTCCAGTCAGCGGCTGCTCCAGGCCAAATCCTGGAGGGACCCCACTGATCACTCATGGAGTGGATCCCTGCCTGCTGCCCTGGGAACCTGAGAGAGCTCCTCCACTGCTGGCTATGGCTGGTGGTTTCCCTGGCTGGGGGCAGCTAACACCCCATCCCTCCATTCAAGCCAGGGCAGAGTTTACCTCATCTGTGCCCAGGCAGTTGGATTTCCTCTTCCTGCCAGGCTGGGCAGCCACTGCTCTCCTGGCTGAGCCGTTCTGGAAGAGAAGGTGAGAAGGGTATTATGTGCAGGCCATGGGTGGGAGGAGGGATCAGCCATTTCCTGGCAGCAGCACAGGGAGGGGCTCCGCCTCCCATCATCACCTGACCAGTGGGATGAAGCTAGGAACAAGGCAGTTTTAAGGCAATCCGACACCACAAGGCAGGCCCTGGCCCCACCGGGAGCCAAGGAGTCAGGGCTGGAAGCATGGGGACCCATCAGAACTTCCCCCAGCAGGCAGGCGAGTGTCGTCTCCACTGGGGCTGAACCCTTTCTGTTCCACACACAGCACCTTGCTGAGTCCACTAAGCAGTGGGGCTGGGGGTTAACGCCCTTTGGAGATGCCCAGAGCAGCTCTATCTCGGAGGGATTGGCTCAGGCTCTCTGCAGACTCAGGCATTGCTGTATTGGTTGCATTTGGGTTACATTTTCTCCCCAAGCATGAGGGTGAGAAGCTGTGATTTTGCCATGATCACAAAACTCCAGGAGCTCAGGCCCTGGTCTCAGGGTAATTGTGCCTGGGCCTACAGCCAGCCCTGGGCAGGAAGGAGCAAGGAACAGTGCCCAGAGCTCTCCCTGTGATGGAAATACTCCTCGCCCCTGCACATCCCATCAACCCCTCTGCTCTTACCTGGGGGAAAACAGAGGCTTGAGTGGTCTCTGTGGAAGCAGGGACGGGGGTTGCTGGGGAAACCACCTCCACCTTCCGCTTCTGAAACAGACCCAAAAAATGGTTCATCCACATGGGATGTTGCAAAGCTTCACAGTCGTCCACCCCTGCACAGCATCCCCCGCGGGGGCAGCTTCTCATCTGCAGATGTACGGGCATCACAGTATCTTGTAATCTCAAAAAAAACTTTCTAGGCTGTTTATATAGGGATCCCTCACCCAGCACTGACTTGCAGCTGCCTCTGGGGTGGGGCACAGGGCTGTTTATACAGAGATCCCTGGCCTGGTGCTGAGAGACTTCCCCCCTCTGGGGTGGGGTGTGAGGGCTGTTTAACAGTGCATGACAGTGTAGAGCAGGAGGATAAAAATCTCTTTTCCTGCTAAAACTGCATGAAGTTCTAGGGAGGCAGAAAGTAACTGTCCAAGCTCTGATTTGGCTAGAACACCGTGGTTCACACCAAGACTCTGAGGGAAGGGATGAGAGATCTTTAATGACCAAGAGTGGTTCCTTATCTGCATCGTTTGACTGAGGTCTCACAGCACCCTCTAGCTTCACACTAACTGTGAGGGAAAAGTGCCCCTATTGGACCCCCACTGCCAGCAGCGCACTGCCCTCTAGCATCATGATATGAAGGACAGTGAGCTCTGGATGCGGGGGAGAATGGCCCCTAGTGAATCCCCAGCACCATGCCTTGGGAGTCTCCCATGCAAGTCCAGACCCAGCCCGACCCCGGCCAGCTTGTATGACCTGGCACAATCCCAGCCTGTGGCCATGCCCAGACCATGCTGAGGACACGGAGGTGGGGGAGGTATCCCCGGCGCCGGTGCGTACCGTTGTCCGATGGTTCGGCTGGACACAGGAGCTGGAGGAGAGGGGTTGGTCAGGCTCCCCGGGAACAGCCTCCCTCTCCTTGGGTAGGTTAAAGCGGAGCGTTATCTGCACTGGGATGGGCAGGGTTTTACCGCTGGCTGGAGTTGAGGCAGGTTGTAGAGACAGATCCAAGGTCTTCCTCTGAGTAGGGATGAAGATGGAGGTGGGGGGGAGTTACCAACACACCCAGTGGGGGAGAGGATGCAATGCTGGTCAGGTGAGGGGGGCGTGGCACCACTGTCCCAGCTCGCCGCGGGCCAGGCAGCGAGAGGAGTACGTGGGTCCAGAGAGATACGATGACTTAGTGCTAGGGCCAATGCTGGGCCCTGCTCTTAGGATAAGTGGTACTTTAGCATCCCTGCCTTGGAGACCTGTATGTTTGCAACTCCTGGGTTGGGATCAGGTGGAGGGAGCCGGTCTGGGCCATCAGGGAGAACACTGTTCTGGGTAAGCGTCCACATCTCCCCATCCCCCCTTGCCATCCCAAGACCCTCCAACCATCCCTGATGTCCTCCTCCTGATCCCCAGGCCAGCACTCTCATCCCAGCCCGCTCCCTATAGCATCCCCCAGAGCAGCACTAGCATCCTCCCTGGCCTATGGCCAGCTCCTCTTACCACTTCCCGCTCTGGGGAGCTGGGCCTGGAGCCAGGCAGCCCATTCTTGGTGGGAGTCTTGGCTTCCTTCTTGGGGAACTGGATCTTCTTCAGGTCCAGCCGGTCATGGGTCACCCATTCGTCCAGACGCTTGTTAACTGCGGCGGTGGGGAGACCAGGTTAGTGGTGGTCTCTGTTAGGGTGATGGGAGAGGAGGAAAGAGGCCCCTGCGGACAGCCAGTCCCAGGCAGAAAAGTGGTGCTAAGACTGCCCAAGGCTGGAGAGGGATGGATGAGCTGCAGAGGGGAAAGCAATGCCTCACACTGGTGAACAGCACCACCCTGTGGCCATTTGGACAGTTGAACCCAAAACATTTAGCTCCATCAGAGTCTCGTCTCCAGAAGCAGGAGTCCTGGCTTCCTTGTATGAGTGAGGTTTATGATGAGAGGGGAAAGGTCTTCAGGAGGGAAAGTACAAGCCCAAGAACTCAGGACATTCATAATTATGCCACTATATGCAACGCCCCCACCTGTGTGTGCGCGCAACAGGAGACCGACAAACAGGACAGTGTCCTACTGGGCAGTGGGGTCAGTTCTGATTCTGAAGTAAGCGCACCACCTACTGGGTCCCCGACCCCACTTGCCATGGTACTCTGATGGGAAACCTCAAAGGATCCAGAGTTCCTTGAGCTGGATCAGAGCCAACACCCCCTAGAGGGGAAAGGCCCGGTGTTCCACTCCCTCCCCCGCATCCCCGAGCCAGCTAGTCCCCACGGTATAAGACCAGATTGGAGACAACATCCACTAAAGGAGGAAAACCCCATAGCCTATTTCCCAGAATCCAGAGGAACTCCCTATTCGAGGGCCAGCCAGTTTACTCACAGTCAATGTAATGAACATAGAAAAGCTTCCGGCCACTGATGTCCTTAACACTGAGGATTTCAGCCAGAGCTGCAGGGAGAGAAGGAAATAGCATTTCAGAGGAAATTTCCACTCAGAGCAGAGATGCAAGAAACCTGCCCTTGTAATGTTTATTTAAATTAAATTTAAATTAATGGAGATATCCCATCTCATAGAGCTGGAAGGGACTTTGAAAGGTCATTGAGTCCAGCCCCCTGCCTTCACTAGCAGGACCAAGTACTGATTTTGCCCCAGATCCCTAAGTGGCCCCCTCAAGGATTGAACTCACAACCCTGGGTTTAGCAGGCCAATGCTC